TTCCAACTTAGGACATGCCACATGGGGGTGTTTGAAGGATGCCTTTGTGTACTATCTGGTTGTGGTGATGCAATTTGGGTTATGAAGGAATATGGGGTGAAGCAATCTTGGACTAAACTTGATATCAAAGTCCCCTTTTCACATAAATTGGAGCCGTTGGGTTTGTTGAGGAATGATGAAGCTCTGCTGTTGATAGACTACACTAAATTAGTTTTATACAACAAAAGAGGGGGAACATGCAAGGATCTTGTCATACACGGCATTGAAAAAGAAGAGGAAATTCATGCAACCATCCATGTAGATAGTTTGCTTTCACCCTTCATGAAAATTTGATAAGAGGGTAGAGAAAAGTAAAGCCAAACAATTGTGTTACTTCGATATATATGCGAGATAAAGTTTTTATTTTTCACCCATTTTGGCATTATAATGATTCATGTTGCATTGTCTCTATACTTTTGAACTGCCTTTTTTTGATTCATTGATTTTTCTTTCGTCCTTCTTTGAACATCGCAGTAAGCGGCCACTTTCCTGTAGATAAATATTCTCTAACAAGGGTAAAAAGCAAAGGAGAGATTTGGCAACCCTATCTCAACCCTCTTTTAGGTTGAAAATACCCATGAAGAGTGCCAGTCACTAGAACAGAAAAAGTTGGTGTAATGATCAACTAACCAATTTTGAATCACTGATTGATCTGTAGAATAATAGCATTAGTGTTCATATTGTCACGGGCTTAGAGTTTCAGCACCACTCTAGCTGCTCCCGTGCGGCACCAAGACGTTGCTTTCACTCTCGCAAGTACTTGGTCAGCCTAACTCCCGTGCACACCTTAGCCAACACACTCCCCTCGTGCGCTTACTAGTGTTGTAGTTGCCCTCGCCCTCTCCTCACTTGGCTTGCACACTCACACACACTAAGGCACTTAAGTTGGCAAGGAAAGAACACTTCTATTACTTCAAAGAATGCTTTGTACAAGGCTAGCACTCAAGCTCTCTACAAGGCTCTCAAGACTCACTCTAGGACTTGTTGCCTGCAAAATGAAGTCCTACCTCTATTTATAGGCATCCCCATCCCTAATGGACGGCTAGGATGCATTCTAACCAACGGTGGAGATTGATTATCTAGAATCTTCTCCCACCTTCTTCACACTTCCATACTTATCTACTAGTATCTACAACATTCTAGAATTCTCCATACTACTCCACACAACTCTGGAGAACTCTAGAACCTTCCACACACTTCTACACATTTCTACACATATCTAGAATCTTCCACATAACTCTAGACTATTCCGGAAGACTCTAGAAACTCCACTTGCCATGCAGTTGCCATGCAGCGTCCTCCTCAGCGTCTGCGTGTCGCCTGCGTGGCACAACCTCCATAGGCGGGGCGTGACATTCTCCCCCACCCATTTCCGTGACGCCCTCGTCACGGTTTCTTCAGCTGACCCAGCCTCTCGCAGGTCATCAACACTTGCGCATATGTCCTTGGCCCAAACGTACGAGCGCCCTTCGGGAGATGTGAAGTCCTCACGAGCTCCATCATGTTGACTGCCACCTCGGGACTCTCCTTCCTGCCCACGAGCGGCACCATACATGCGGCCTTGCCTTCCTCGCCTCCAAGTATCATCAACGCACCAAGGCATGGTAGTGGCGCGGCGTTGTTCCTGTCCATGAACTCCAGCCCCAGCACCATGTCGTGGTCGTCCATCTCCGCAACTTGGAAGTCAGCCTTGCCCTTCCATCCTTGCATGCATAGCTCCACCTCCTTGCACACTCTACTCACGCGTGCCTCCTCGGAGTTGACGGCCTTGATCCAGCCCTCCGTCTTGCGCATCTCCAGGCCAAGTCGTTGCGCCTCCTCCGGGGTAATGAAGTTGTGTGTAGCACTCGTGTCTACCAACGCTTGCACGGCTTTGCCACCAACCTGCGCATCCACATAGCGCACCCCAGCTACCTTCTTTGCCTTGCCCTTCTTCTTGGTGTCATGCGCCATGCTACTCAGCATCTGCATAGCCCCCATGCACCTATCTTCATCGCTGCCCGCATCGTCCACCCTGCCCTTGCCCTTATCCTTCACAAGGGCGCTCATGGTCTTCTTGTTGGGGCAGTGTCGCAATATGTGCGGCCCTTCGCACAAGTAGCACTTCGGCTCCCACTTGCCCTTATCGCGGCGCTCCCCTTTGCCACTAGCCTTAGACCTCTCTCCATGGTCCTTGCCTTTATCATGGCGTGGGCGTCTCTCCTCATCGCTGTGCTCATCATCACTTGACTTGGGCGAGCCCCTTTTCTTGAAGCGACGGTCTCCCCCACCTTTGCCGTGGTCCCTCCTGGGAGACGTGGCCCTCTTGTCATCGCGCCTAAAGTCTTCGAGGCGCTCCGCTATAGCCATCGCGGATGCCAAGTCTCTAGGCTCCCTCCTCCTTAGCTCCGTGGCCACCCAAGACTGCAGCCCATCAATGAACAAGCACACACGTTGCCGCTCCGGCATCTCTGGGATCTCCAGCATCAAGTTGGAGTACTCCTTCACATACTCCCTTATGCTGCCCCTCTGCTTCAGGCGTCTTAGGTTGATCATGGCGAGGTCCTCAACGCACTCGGGATAGAACTGCCTCTTGAGCTGCCTCTTAAACTCCTCCCATGTGTCAACTGCTCTTGCGCCTCTACCGGTGAAGCGCTGCCTCCACCATAGAGCGGCAGTGTCCGTGAGGTACATAGTGCCTGTCTGCACCTTCTCCTCATCATCCTCGATCTCCATGCACTCGAAGTACCGCTCCATGTGCCAGAAGAAGTTGTCAATCTGGCGCGCATTCCTCGCCCCATCGTACTCCTTGGGCTCCGGCGCCTTCTTCTTCCTTGGCTTCACCACGACCTCGCGCGCCTGGGAGAATTCCTTCTTGCACTCGGCAATCTCCACGCGCAAGTCGTCTACCAGATCATGCAAGTCCCTTTCCTTCTCTTGCGCCTTGTTGGCGATGCCATCAATCAGCTCGTAGAGCTCCGCCATCCTTCTCTCGAGCCTATTAAACTTAGTCTCCGTGTAGACCAAGTGTGTGGCAAGCTTCTCCTCCAAGCTCTGCTCTAAGATGTGGACTTGGTGGTCTCCTCCGCTAGCCATGTCTACTCCAACAAAGCTCCCTTGACAAACCTGGCTCTGATACCATTCCCGACCAGTTTGTGCAGGGATGGCCAACTCCCTTCTTCATAGTCAAGTCCACGACCAGCGACAAGCACCTCGAACTGAACCGAGTCGACCTGCCTGAACTCTGAAGAGGCCATGGCAGGCCGAAACCAGTCAGCATGTATCCTTGGGAGGGCAGGTCGTGGTGGCTGACCAGGGCGCTTGCGCGAGCTGAAGCAACGCCTTGGTGCCGCACGGGCCGTGCCGCTGCGCCAAATCTCTAGGCCCGTGACAATATGCTGTGTTTCTGAAAGAACCTGGTGCACCTGTCAGCCTCTCTCAGCCATAAATTATAGATTTCTGGGCTTAGAGAAGCTCTTCATTAGATATAGCCTGCTCCACTGTTCTTCTACAAGCAGCTTTATTTTTATAAAATTCTAAATTAAATTTAAATCACACAATTGTAGTACAAAAACGCTCACACCTTCTATAATTATCATTGAATTCTTCCACTTTATGGGTGACATATTGTTTATTAAATTAAAATGACACAATTGTCATTCAAAAGCACTCACACCTTCTATAATTATCCTTATAAACTCCACTTTTACAGGGAAATTGTGTCATTTCATTTATTACTTGTCAAAAAACAAAAAAGTGTTATTCATTTATCACGAAAAATCAAGTTAAATGTAGGAGGAAAAACACTATGAAGTTGGAGTAAAAATATCAAATTCTGTAGCACTGTTAAATGGAAATTTCAAATTATTTCGGAATTCATGATAAGACCCAAAAATTCCTAGTTATGAGCGTCTCGATGAGAAAGACCTAGAGATGAATTATTTATTTTGCTTATTTTTTATTTTAACTAAATTATTAACAAATAAGCAACCAAAACAAATAAATAAGGTTTAAAAGTAAAAGAGATGACAACAGAAATTTTTACTTAAAAACCTCAATGAAGAACACCACGGAGATTGTTGTCACAGCTGAACTGATCCCTAGAAATGAGAAGTTTCAGTAACTTCAAAACAGTTCTTCACAATCCCTGATGCTCTGTGTTCTCCGATTTACGCCAACAAACACCTCATGATGAGTTGCTTCTAAAGTGATCAATCGCCTTTCTCCTTCCCTAAGAAGCACAGACACGGATAGACATGACACAGACACTGCGACATGTCAAATCCTAAAAAATTAGGACACTGTCTCGACAAATAATTAAGAAAATTGTGCTTTGCCGGGGAAAAGAGAGAATGATAGAGAGAGGGTTAAGAAAGAGGAGAAACAAAGAAACATAAATATGCAAGAGTTTGAACCTTGGAACTAAGTATAAAGCATAAATATATGATTGTTTAATATAAAATTGTTTTTTAAAACAATAACTTTTAAGTAATTAAATAATGATCATATTGTTAAAAACTATTAAACAACTCCCCATAGTTACACTTCAACCTTGCTTTCTTTCTAAAACTTTCTTAAAATCCCCAAGTGCCTTGCTTAATAGGGGTGGGGCCGGGCCGGGAACAAATTGCCATCCCTAACTGTTTTGGATTGCATCGAACCAGTAGCCTCATGGACTGGTGCAAGAGTGCACTGCTTAATTTCGTACTTGGTCAATTTTCCAACTTTTGACACTTCAAGGAAGGATGTTGTTTCGATACGAGGAATAAATTGAGATTTGTCTTGACATGATAAATGGTGCAGGGACTCTATTGAAGAATGTTCATGGAGAAATGTTTAATATGACTTTAATAAGGATGCAGCACTTAGTCAGCTGGACTGGTTGTGGCAAGCCACATTACAATTGACATTTGTAAAAGCTTTAGCTAACTGGGAATTATATGTATGGATTGGATTCTTTGACTAAGTTTACCCGGCATCAAATGAATTTGTGTGAAGAGGATGCTAGGAGTTGTGGAGAAGGTACAAGTATTTCCTTCTTTTTTGGAGCATTGTGCTGCACAATATTACTAAATTGGCTTTTCAAGCATACTTTCATGTTCCCTCTTCATCAATGTGGTGGCTAATTATTTTAGACAACTCTTTTTTGGTATGCCACAAATATACTACTAATTTAACCTTTTTTATGAGGTTGATGAACTTCAAGTCTTATCACTTGTTTGTTTTAATTCATCAGTTTGAGTTTCCTATACAAATTCTTTTTTTGTTTCTTTCCATTGCCATTGGAACCTCGTAGATGCACCAAATTTGCTATGTTTGAGTATTATGACTGCTGATCTTTTTTCCCCACTACTTATGCAACCTCTTGTATTTGCCATTTTTAGGTATTGTTGGATTACCAATATCAACGTCCTTTAATGATGGTTCATTTGTATGTTTGGGCAATAGGTTGAAGCAAACATTTTCTTCCTTTGATGATTTATTGACAAATTCTGGCAAACCCGCACTGGTTGACTTCTACGCAACTTGGAAAGTCCCCCCCCACCCCCCCTCTTCTTCTCTTTCCCTCCCTCCCTCTCTATCTTCTAGTCTTATTTAATTGTCACCCTCTCTTAGCTAAATAAATCACAAATGGGGCCATTTGATAACAACCCTGTGGAGGCAGAGATCCTAGGTGAGTGTTTCCTGGAGACATTATGGTCTGGTGATTATTACCTGAGCTCTTATTTGCAGGTGTAGTTCATTTCAATTCATGGCTCCTATTCTTAATGAAGTCTGTGCTTCAACGAAAGATATGATCCAGGTGGTGAAATTTGATACTGAGAAGTACCCAAGCATCGCTGATAAGTACAAAATAGAAACATTGACAACATTCATCATATTTAAGGATAGAGAATCCTATGATAACTTTGTTAGTACAATAATCTTATTTTTTGCCTCTGGAAATTCCAGCTTATCTGGACTTTCATTTTATATTGAAAGATGCATACTTTTAATTTAGCTTGCATTTTTTTTCGTTCTAGTAAAATCTATCGTGAAAATGTCTGCGATGGTCTATCAAGGTGTATTCCTTACTCTAGGAGTCTTTTTGAATTTAAGTTGTTGAAATGTCTCTTCTCGTTTTCTGCAAAGTTTACCGAACGGTAGACTGCTTCAGCAACATTATCCGACAGGGAAATTGACTTTCCAAGTTATTTTATTTTTCTCAAATTTATGATTTTTTGGTTTTTATTAATTTTAGTTTTGAGTTATAATTCTTAGTAATTTCTGCCTAAAAATTTTCAGGAGGGCACTTTGACTTCAGGCCATCTCATCGAACGGATTGAAACCTCACTAAAAGTTAAGCAGTAGCTAGAAAGCCTAGAAGTTTTCATGTTGAGTCTTTTTTTCTCTTATCAGCTAAGTTTTTTGCATTCACTTTTGAGAAGGTATATTTTGTTAAAGACCCTTGCAGCAGTTCTTTTTTATATTTACGTTTTTTGGTTTGTGCTCAGGATAGACTGGGAAATTGATAATCAAACAATTACAGTTGGAATACTGGAGCTCATAGAAGAGGATATGCAAGGTGATCATTTCATCATCTTTTGAGTCACTGATATTGTATTTATGGAATCATTGTCAAAATTCATTTATGCAATTATGGATTGATCAAATTAAATAAAATGATTACAGTTACCATTCTCCTCCATCTGACTTGTTTTAGAGTTGACCATGGTTGACTTTTCTCTCTTCTCTCTTTACCCTTTTTGATGTCGGAGTCTTTCACTCCGGCGTCTGTCGTTTTTTCTGGTTGTGCTTTCTGTCGTTGGATCTCTGGGTTGTTTGGCGGGGAATTGTGATATGCAAAGATCATATCTCAATGTGGCGACTCTACCACGCCTCAACTTCCATGGAGAAATGAAAAGCTGCTCCATCGGCAATGATATGGTTTTTAGGGTTGATCATCAAAGTATAACGGAACAAGAATCTGCCCTGCGATCATGTTTGGTTGGCCGTTTCGATCGTGACGTGGGGTGTATTGAAGGGATTGAGGCGTGGGCGACGAAATCTTGGAAAGTATCGAGTGGGGTGAAAGTTTCTTCCCTACCCGACGACCTACTCCTGTTCAGGTTACCATCGGAGGCCGAGGCACTAAGGGTATTGGATGAAGGGAGGAAGAGATGGGGCGATGCTATTTTATCCATGGATGTTTGGTATTTCGCGGTGGGTTGTTCTGCAGTGAAAGATCGAGAAATACGAAGGGTGATGTTGTTTGGTTTGCCCCTCCATCTTTAGTGTCACAAGTTGTTTGAAGCAATTGGAGACTGATTGATCTGTAGAATAATGTCCTTCGAATTCTGCAAAACATTAATAGCACTAGCGTTCCTATGCTGTGTTTCTTTTTTATGTACGATCCTGGTGCACTTGTCATGCTCTCTCAGCCACAAAATTCTAGATTTCTGGGCTTAGAGAAGCTCTTCTTTAGATATAGCCTGCTTAATCTGAGCAACCTCCAACTCCTTTCTTGCCTTTGCTAGATTAATTTGAGATGTTGCCAAAATGATCTCTATTCCAACACTTGACAGCATCTTGCACATTACTCAGTCGCTTATGAAATCTCTATGTAATGGATTACCTGTCACCAACATATGCCAGGCATTGGCCACTATCTTTAGGTTCTGGGAAGCAGACGTCATAATAATCCCATGATCTGATAATATGGGAAGCAGACGTTATAATAATCCCGTGATCTGATAATCTCTCAGTATGCGCAGAAGCCTGAGCATTGGGGATATTTAGCTAACCAGAGAATGTTGATAAAAACTCTATCGAGTCTAACATAAATTATTTTCTGAACGCCTTTCCTATTGCACCAAGTCCAGGGAATATTGATTTCTTAATGGAAACGCAAACAACCTATATTTTATATTTTCCAAGCAAAAACAAATTAAATTCCTAACCTATCACTGCCTGTAGTGAGAGGATATTGGGATCTCCATTTTTGTATATAATCATGAAGGGAATATTTTCCTGCCATTTTTTTTTAAAAAAAAAATGATTGTGGATTTGTATAGAAATTCCTAACCATTAGATGCTATCGTAATTCCCTTCACATTGCGTCTTTGACACCATTATCTACATTTCTTCTTTATTAGAAGTATGATATTGTGGTCGTTGTGAACCCTTCATTAGTACTCTCTTGTAGCCCAATATATAAGGGCGTTTAGGGCTTGGAGTGGGATATTGAGAGACACTAGAAATTGCAGAAAAGAGAGTGAGCTAGAGTTTTGGGACTGAAACTTGTAATCTCCAGATTTTCGCATAGTGAATTCATTCGCCAGATCTTCACCGTGGATGTAAGCTTTTGCCAAACCACGCTAAATCTGTGTGTTCTTTGTGTGTGGTGTGTTTTCTTTCCATTGTGTTACTTGTTTGTTGGTTGGGTTCGTTGCGGTGGTTGTAACAAGAAGCATGCTCCCTCCCTTTTTCTATTGCATTTTCAAAGTTCCGAACAATGTTTTCCTCCTAGAGGATTGTTGTTGCAAGGGGTTCTTGTCCCAAATCGGATCCGGATGGGGAAGTGATTGGGTATATATGGGCTGGGTGTGAGCACCACTTAATAGCTTAAGCTTTTGGGTCAGAACGAAGCACCCAGCGAGTTTCAATTGTCCTCATGATTGGTTGTTTCCTCAATGTTCAGCTGTGGTGGTTCTATTTTACTCTACCTTCAAATTGGTGAACCTTTATTTATTTATTTTTATTCAAAATGGGTCCCGGCCGAGCACTACCAGTAAACTCTTGAAAATAGGTAATTGTGGATGCTGAGATGTGTATATAAATTTCTGGTGTGCAAAGTTATATAATTATCTTTTAATGAAATTGCAGTTATCTCTTCTAAATATAGTGTGAAATTATGGGAAATGCCGAAATGATGTATTAATGCATACATTTGTTAGCATTGTAAAATTACTGACCTGTTTATCTATCATTAACCAGAAGGTATATTTATCAAATATTCAGGTGCACCATGGATGTGCTGGAACCACAGCCACAGGACTAAGGGCTGGGATAATATTCTTGTTAATAAATTTTCATTTTATTGTTCTTCATTGCTTGTGAAAATATAGCATCCAGATATTACAATATGTTTAACATATGTCTTTTTAAAGTTTTCATAACTAATTATTTAAATTCTAAGAATGTAATTATTTGACAATGAGAGATGACAATCAACTTAATTGGCACTTTCTGAAACTGAGATTTGATCCTTTATGAGAACTGAAATTTTCTTTTTATATGAAATGTTTAATGGTGGAGTTCACCTTATATGATGTGCACATCATGAAATGCAGTGTCCAACAACCATAGTGTCACTCTCTGGAGATCAGTTCTTCTGGGGTGAGAGAATTTTTCAGAAAGGACTGGGACGCTCTCCAATCCCTATATCTCAGCGCAGCATTGAAAGCCTATCAGATGCCATAAGATTTATGCTCGAGCCAGAGGTAAATAAAACTCGTATTTGTTCACTTTTCGTTTTAAAGCAGATCAGATGTTTAATAGATTAGACCTGTCATTGTTTTCCTCTTCAAATATAAAGTGCAAGTTTAAGGCATTACAAAAATATCATTTAAAGGAATAATTACTTAACTTTACATCAGTTATTTATAAATTTATCATTCTGATAGTGTTTATGGCTGTAGTTGCACCTTTGATGTCTCACCAACAAAAAGTAATGTTTTTAGACAATTTCAGAATCAGCAGAGGCTAGGCAGCAAGTGGGAACCTCACCTAATATCAGTGCCAGTGATGCTCAGGAGGATTAAGAAGAGATGAACATAATTATTTTCTAATTACTTTTATTACATGATCTGTGCTTGACTGCTATACTTGAAAGTAATGATTTTGTTTATTTGATTTGATGAACACGATTGTTATTAAAGTTAATTTTACCCTTTTCTATTGTTAGGGGTTTGATAAATTGAGTTTGTGTGATGAGTGAATGTAGATCTAGAAGTTAGAACAAACAAATACTCCACAGAGTAGCAATATTTTCTTCTCATGGAGTGGTTTCTCATTATCATGGCTAAATACATAATTTGAACAAACTTGGGGGCAATTAGTGAAGATAAACCTGAGTTTGGAATGTTGGATCTATCAAACGCTAATTGTTTCTGCAAGGAAAATGTTGACTTGACGAAGGAAAAACCAAGAAAATTTATAGATTGGCTGGTTTCGCTTATTCTATCTGCTATAGTTTGAGAATTTTTGTTTTCATTTGTTTTATGTTCTAAACCTTCATGTGATGGCTGCTGTGTCCACTATGTCCATCCTGCTTACCATAGCTCTCTCTTGCTTGAAATGAGATATCACAAGTTTTCTGTACTTATTTTTCACAAAATAGTGCTTGATGGAACTTTGACTATCAGGTGAAATCTGTGTAATGGAAGTAGCGAAGTTGATAGAGAATGAAGATGGTTTTGCGGCTGCAGCTGATGCATTTCGCCGGCATTTGCCTCCAGAGCTATGATTACAAACTGAATCTTAAGAGGAAGATGATCATCCGTATCCTTTGCAGTGGCTATTTATTCAAATTGGGAAATTGTGTTCTCGTGGTTAGTAGGCTTTTAGTGGTAACCTGCTGTGTTGTATAGTTTTTTCTTTTCTTTTCTTTTCTTTTTTTTTTCTTTTTTTTTTTCAATTGTTTGCATATGTTCAATATTTCATTCATTTTATTCATGGCTTTTCTGTATGGTTTTAATAACAATAAAATACTTTACATAGTTTCCACGATCATAAAGCAGCTAGTGTAGGCTTCTTTTGTCTTCATTTCTCGGTCAAATGGGATCAATATTTGAGTGTATTAGACTTTTAAATTGTTATTGGTTATTATAATTCAATTCATGTTATTATAATTATATATTCTTGAATGTCTCGGAAGGATAATGGTTGAATTTGATAAAAGGGTAATAGACGCCCACATTTCAATTGTTATGTTATGATTTTAAGGGTAATTTGGATATATTGTCTTTTGCTCTTTTTTCTTTACCATTATGATTTGTCCTTCCTTGCACAAATTGAAAACAAAGGGTTTTTGGATCAATAAGGAAGTAATTACACATTTTGCATATTACAAGAGAGATTTTTTACACTTAATCCTTATTTATATTGTAAGAATATAATTACACGAAAAATAAGAGTGAATTGGTGCTTTTGAAATCGAGATTTGATCCTTATGGAAGTTGAATCTCTGTTTTTATATTGTACCCTTAATGGTGGAGTTCACCTTATATGATATGGGCATCATAAAATGCGGTGTCCAACAACCATAGTGCATCATGGGACTTGCAAATTTTTTTTTTTTATCGAGTTGTTACTCACATAGTTTGCAATCGCGGTATTCGTTGTAATAATGATAGTGGTATTGATATAACGGACTCGGAGGAATATCAGTTCAAATTTGTCGAACTGAACAGTTCATAAATGTGTGTAATGATATAGGACCCTTGAAAAAGAGTTAAGAACTGAACAATATGTCTGTGTATCGGTCGATGACCATAATTTCTTATTATCAAAGCTATATCCAAAATTATTTCAAAATTAGTAAATTTTTAGTAATAAATTAATCATTTTAAAAAATAATAGTTATAATTTTTTTTTTCATTTTTATCATAAATTGATACTAATAAAAAAAATTAAGTTAAATGATATAATTAAAATTTAGATAAAAGAAAAGAGAATAAAAATAAGAGTTTAAATCATAAAACCTTTATTAATTTTAAATTTAAATTATAAAATTTCAACCTGTTTAAGAAAACCATTTCATTTTTAAAAATTGATCGCATTATCTTAATATCTGTATCTGACCGTTAATTAGACTATGAAATGTCAAATTTAACCTTACAATTTAATGTTAAATTAAAAATTAAAAATTATTTTTAAAAATTATAAAAATACCCATTAAATTACAAAAATTATGTTTCAGAGGGAGTGAATAAGAAATTTAAAGGGTATTTTTGTAATTTAAAAATAATAATTTTTAGTTTTTAATTTAGTATATAAATATATACTAAAAAAAACATCTCCCAAACCCTAATATGCAACCTTCCCTAGTACCTTCTCCCCTCTCCAATAATACCTTCTCTCTGACGGCGAAGATCGAGGATGGCCAGTGATGTTAAAGTCGGAGTTGGAGTCGGATTCGACGGCGTCATTGGTTCTCGTCATCGATGATGATCTGGTACTTCCTCCACCTTTCCCTTTGTAATATGTATGTGTGAATTTATTTTTTCCCCGTAATTGACAGTAAGTGTGTACGCGCGATCTTCTGCATTGATAGATAGCTTCCTATCTAAGAATTTCTATTTCAATCGAACCCAAATTTTTTTTATATTTTAATTTGGGGCTTTGGTTCGGAGAAAAAATTTATGCATTAGAGCCAGAGAGATGATCATATTAAGAAATTTCTACTCCTATTCCTACTCGGATCCGAATACTATGAGATCGGTCCTGTATATTTAATCTTTTCTGAAGCAGTACGGTGAAGATTGAAGTAATTGGCATACTATTATTTACGATGAGGATAAAGAGAAGAAGTTGCTTGCCAAATAGTAGATCAAGAAGAAACCGAGCCAGAGCCATGGTGGGGTTGAAGAATAAGAAGAAGAAGAAGGCAGAGATCATTGCAAATCATAAAGAAGAAGAAGCCATGCCTTTGCCTTTCCTTCCCGAACATCCTGTTGTCCAAATACTCTCGAAACTGCCTGTCAAGTCTCTGTTGCAATTCAAGTGCGTATCGAAACCATGGCGCTCTTTGATCTCCGATCCATGCTTCATCAAAACCCACCTCAGTCAGTCAGTCACAAAGTCCGTACTCATAGCCACGTCCCACCCTCCATACCGTCTCTACACCATAAGCTTCGGATCAGCCGGTAATGACATTGTGGAAGCAAAGGTTGAATTTTTATTTCAGAACATTAAGCCTCATCCCAGGTGTGAAATTATTGGTTCCTGCAATGGGTTGATAGCCATGGGCGTAGAATCCGATGATATTTACCATAAAGGAAATTATGGGGTTTCCATATATGTATTCAATCTTTCAACGAGGGAGTCCAAGGAAATACCAGATTGCGATTCCCCTGGTGGCCTAATTGGATTTGGGTATGACCAGTGCTCTGATGATTACAAACTGGTGAGCGCACGCAGCGATAGCATCTATGTATATTCACTGAGAATTGGTTCTTGGAGAAAAGTTCACGACTTTCCGGACCACTTTCATGTTGTACCTTATGGGACACAGCTGAATGGAGCCCTTCATTGGCTTCGTTTCAGAATGAACAACAATTTAGACATGACATTAGAGATTGCTGCTTTGAGTTTGGCGGATGAGAAGCTGTGGAAGATTCCTTTGCCTACTTCCTTCACCAAGTTCCAACTTAGGACATGCCACATGGGGGTGTTTGAAGGATGCCTTTGTGTACTATCTGGTTGTGGTGATGCAATTTGGGTTATGAAGGAATATGGGGTGAAGCAATCTTGGACTAAACTTGATATCAAAGTCCCCTTTTCACATAAATTGGAGCCGTTGGGTTTGTTGAGGAATGATGAAGCTCTGCTGTTGATAGACTACACTAAATTAGTTTTATACAACAAAAGAGGGGGAACATGCAAGGATCTTGTCATACACGGCATTGAAAAAGAAGAGGAAATTCATGCAACCATCCATGTAGATAGTTTGCTTTCACCCTTCATGAAAATTTGATAAGAGGGTAGAGAAAAGTAAAGCCAAACAATTGTGTTACTTCGATATATATGCGAGATAAAGTTTTTATTTTTCACCCATTTTGGCATTATAATGATTCATGTTGCATTGTCTCTATACTTTTGAACTGCCTTTTTTTGATTCATTGATTTTTCTTTCGTCCTTCTTTGAACATCGCAGTAAGCGGCCACTTTCCTGTAGATAAATATTCTCTAACAAGGGTAAAAAGCAAAGGAGAGATTTGGCAACCCTATCTCAACCCTCTTTTAGGTTGAAAATACCCATGAAGAGTGCCAGTCACTAGAACAGAAAAAGTTGGTGTAATGATCAACTAACCAATTTTGAATCACTGATTGATCTGTAGAATAATAGCATTAGTGTTCATATGCTGTGTTTCTGAAAGAACCTGGTGCACCTGTCAGCCTCTCTCAGCCATAAATTATAGATTTCTGGGCTTAGAGAAGCTCTTCATTAGATATAGCCTGCTCCACTGTTCTTCTACAAGCAGCTTTATTTTTATAAAATTCTAAATTAAATTTAAATCACACAATTGTAGTACAAAAACGCTCACACCTTCTATAATTATCATTGAATTCTTCCACTTTATGGGTGACATATTGTTTATTAAATTAAAATGACACAATTGTCATTCAAAAGCACTCACACCTTCTATAATTATCCTTATAAACTCCACTTTTACAGGGAAATTGTGTCATTTCATTTATTACTTGTCAAAAAACAAAAAAGTGTTATTCATTTATCACGAAAAATCAAGTTAAATGTAGGAGGAAAAACACTATGAAGTTGGAGTAAAAATATCAAATTCTGTAGCACTGTTAAATGGAAATTTCAAATTATTTCGGAATTCATGATAAGACCCAAAAATTCCTAGTTATGAGCGTCTCGATGAGAAAGACCTAGAGATGAATTATTTATTTTGCTTATTTTTTATTTTAACTAAATTATTAACAAATAAGCAACCAAAACAAATAAATAAGGTTTAAAAGTAAAAGAGATGACAACAGAAATTTTTACTTAAAAACCTCAATGAAGAACACCACGGAGATTGTTGTCACAGCTGAACTGATCCCTAGAAATGAGAAGTTTCAGTAACTTCAAAACAGTTCTTCACAATCCCTGATGCTCTGTGTTCTCCGATTTACGCCAACAAACACCTCATGATGAGTTGCTTCTAAAGTGATCAATCGCCTTTCTCCTTCCCTAAGAAGCACAGACACGGATAGACATGACACAGACACTGCGACATGTCAAATCCTAAAAAATTAGGACACTGTCTCGACAAATAATTAAGAAAATTGTGCTTTGCCGGGGAAAAGAGAGAATGATAGAGAGAGGGTTAAGAAAGAGGAGAAACAAAGAAACATAAATATGCAAGAGTTTGAACCTTGGAACTAAGTATAAAGCATAAATATATGATTGTTTAATATAAAATTGTTTTTTAAAACAATAACTTTTAAGTAATTAAATAATGATCATATTGTTAAAAACTATTAAACAACTCCCCATAGTTACACTTCAACCTTGCTTTCTTTCTAAAACTTTCTTAAAATCCCCAAGTGCCTTGCTTAATAGGGGTGGGGCCGGGCCGGGAACAAATTGCCATCCCTAACTGTTTTGGATTGCATCGAACCAGTAGCCTCATGGACTGGTGCAAGAGTGCACTGCTTAATTTCGTACTTGGTCAATTTTCCAACTTTTGACACTTCAAGGAAGGATGTTGTTTCGATACGAGGAATAAATTGAGATTTGTCTTGACATGATAAATGGTGCAGGGACTCTATTGAAGAATGTTCATGGAGAAATGTTTAATATGACTTTAATAAGGATGCAGCACTTAGTCAGCTGGACTGGTTGTGGCAAGCCACATTACAATTGACATTTGTAAAAGCTTTAGCTAACTGGGAATTATATGTATGGATTGGATTCTTTGACTAAGTTTACCCGGCATCAAATGAATTTGTGTGAAGAGGATGCTAGGAGTTGTGGATGCATTTAGTTTGCTGTTTTGGAGAAAGTCTTCATTCTGAATTTTGAGGGAATTCTGGAA